TAGGGGTGGGCGCTTACCCGAGCACCCCCCTTGGAAAAGAGTGGAACTGACAATGTTAATTCACCATGTGACAGATTTAGGGGGATATTACGTCTTTGAAAGTTTGAGGGAAAATAAAATTACGAAATTAGGTGAGTCGTCATTGACTCCTACAATGAAGAAACAGAAGTGGTCAAATATGCACATTTTATTGCAATATTAATTACGTATCACCCAAATTTATGAGATTAAAAATATTTGAGTCTGTTGGAACACATTCAAAGTCAAAATCTTCATCATTATCGCCACTGGCGAATGTGTCCGATCGCACGCAAATTTTTTCCGCCATGATGTATTTGCATTTGTCCTGCATCAACGTTCTTTGACCTAACGGGTCAAGTCTGTTATTATCCAATCAAAATGCTGTATGGTACCGACGCAATTCTTCGGAAATTCCCGAAGACCCTCGGGTAACGCAATGTGGAAGTGAATTGTCGATGTGAAGTATGATCTGTTGGAGTTAATTTCGGCCAATAAACGACATGTTTTTGTTTTTTAAATCAATTTTTATCGGTAAACTGAATACGGCATGAAATATTTACTGCATTTTACTTTTATTAACAGGTCATTGTCAAAGTGTAGTTTACGCACGGTTACCGTGGTCCACGCATTCACAACATATTCACGGCCGTCAATATCCACACTGTATCATATAAAAACGATAAATTATTGGCATTTTGAAGGGGTGGGCGCTTTGCCGAATGCGACCCCGAATATAAAAATTGTGCAAAAGTGGGGGGTGGGCGCTTGACCGAGCATGGGCACTAACGCGGTCGAGTACGGTAGTTATCAGGGTGGTTCTAAGTGGTTATAGTACAACAATTATAAATATTGAATAAAATCATGACAATATATGATGAATTGATATTTTGGTCATATGTATAATCTGACAACTAAATTATAGTAATAGTTGCATGATCTGATCTTTAACAGTAAGATATTACAGTTATGCATATTGTTAAGGTCGTATGACCATATATAGTCATCTGATATATTAGTCATAACTCCTGCCGGATGCGTTTAATATATCACCGAATGCACATCCCTTGACCATACAAAAATGCATTTGGTAATCTTATATGGTAGTCATATACCTTGTAAAATTCCTACATTATATAGGGATAGTTGCATGCTCTTATCTGCAACAGTGCTTTAGATATTGCACATATGCATACTAATGAGGTCACGTGACCCTATTTATACAAAGTATGTAAATAATAAGCATGGATTTTGTATTATCAAAAAAAAACAACTTTATATGAATTCTGATGAGTGGTTGAGATATTGGGAAAAAAAAAACAAATTAACTAATTATTATGCAAATTAGGTAAATAGTATGCACAGATTCATCCAAAAACTAATAAGGTCTGTGCATTTTCCAAGAGCACAAAGTTTCATTGAAACCTCATTAATTGGTTCTTTAGATATCAACGGAAAGGATACGCACACAAAAAGTCAAAAATTTTGCTAGATGATCTAGAGAAACAAACCACCAGAATGGATTGCATAGTTATGTTTGAGTCATGCTAAAATCTGTAAACAAATAAATACCATGTACATAATGGGGAAGACTGGGTAAACAACATAATGCTTCTCGATGGAGAAGAGACTCAGAAAGTTAGGACAATGCAATTCACAATTTTTTTATATCACAATTCATTCTCTAGATATTCAACTTTCATCAGTATTATGCACTCCACCATCTTGATTCTGCAGCAAAAGATTGTGGGTAAAGTATGACGTCATAGCCTCTTTTTTCGGATAATTTTTTAGCGGATGCTTGTCTAAGCACTCATCCCCTAAAAAACTTGATGAGTACCCTGAACACTAAGTCAGAAGAGAATAGTATGTCTGTTCCACCTTTATCTCAAAAGTTGTAAGTTGTAACTGTAAGTACATGTGCTACTGATATGGTATTGTACTGCTTTACTTTGAAGTGACATGTACAGTTATGAATCAAGGCCCATATTAAATATTATTAACAGAAGCAAACTGACCTCCCATTGTACTTGTAGTTGTGATTTTTTGGTCTTTTTATCAACAATCTGTAATTTACCATAAATCAGCCTGAAATCTGATGCTGATATTGAAGTGTCTCCACACAAGATAGCTTCTAATACAGCAGTGTGGATAAACTCGTATTGCTCCTTGTAAACAAGAAATATAAACATTATTATAGCAGTGTGAATAAATTCATAGTGCTTAGAGTAAACAAGAAATAAAAAACCTTCAAAAGCAGTATCAATGGACTCATGTTGCTCGTGGTAAAAGAAGAATATTGTGTGGATAAACTGATACTGCTTCTGGTAAACGAGAAATAGAAGAACTATAAATAAATATAATTATTATAATCGACTTACTGCTGTTTGAACAAAATTCATTCTGTTTTCCCTTCCCCTCTTCACAAAGTTGAAGACATCAATACATCCCTCAGCCTTGGCCATTTTCAGCATTGAATCAATGGATATAAATGATCCAGTACGACCAACACCAGCACTACAGAGAAAACAACCATACATGACATAGCAATGCGGGTTGATTACCAGTTTATCCAGTTTCAGCATAGTTATGTATACTGTGAGAGTGAGTGAGTACATTTTGTGATTGGGCCATTCCAGTTTATATCTGCACCCCCCTGTTGATGTGGTCGGATTTCCAGCACTGTATGATGGGGAAAATACCCCGGAATTTTAACTGTATATGGAGAAACAGAATCTGAAAATCCAGACGAGTATGGAAAAAAAATTCCTGGAAATCCAGGCAGTTATGGCTACTAAAATAAAAAATGAATGGCCTAGTTTATCTCGCAACATACCGATTGATGAGGTTTGATTTCCAACAGTATGACTAAAAAAACTTGGAATTCTGACTGTATATGGTAAAAAAATTGGGCCAGTATGAAATAGTTATTACTGAAATTAGATAAAGATGGTGGCACGAATGAGCTCATCAACACCGTGAATCAGGGCTAGTTTGGATTTCCATTATCAAATATAAAATTTTGAACTTGGATAATTAGCTTATGATGAGAGTTATATTTGGAAATCCTACTCTATATGGTGGCACAATAGAACTCATCAACACCATAAGTAGGAACTATAGTTTTGGATTTCCATTACTGTATGGTGAATGGTGATTTGGAAATAAAACTTTGTATGACTTATACATGTACACCCATGGAAATTATACCCTGTATGAAGTAAACACACAAGCTTATCAACAAGGGGATGCAGATATAAACTGGAATGGCCCATTATATAATAACATCTGCAAAGAACAGACAAGCAGCTTGTCGGCGGAGATAGCTTCGCTATTAGCAATGCACATTTCTATTAAAGAACAGAAGATATCATTAAAAAATGAACAACATGGTGTATCACTTTTTACCCAAAATGACAAAAATATTCATCAAAATTAGATAATTGAAGTTATCATCACAATATAAACAAATCTGAGAGAGGAGGTTTACCTGAGGTACCTATATGTATAGTATCAAAGCAATGAGACTTGCAGTTTTTAACAAGAAGTTGAAAATATCACTTTTTACCAAAAATGTAAAAAATATTTATCAAAATTAGAGAATTGAAGATATCATCACAAAATGAACAAATATGAGAGAGATCTATCTTCCTTAGGTACCTATATGCATAACATAAAAGCAATCAAACAAGAAGTCGAAAATATCACTTTTTACTAAAAAAGACAAAAATATTCATTACAATCCATGCATGGCACAGTCCCCATCAGTTATCGAATTTAAGATATATAGTTTTGTTTATAGTAATAGAGCTGGAATATAACCATGTCAGGAATATGATTATGATAATTGTTTAACATTAAAATGATTGTATCTGCTCGTCAAACAAGTACTTATTGTTATAAGTCCATATTGAGAGATATTGCTCTGGAACAGCATTAATTAAAACAAAATCAGCCATTTTGAATGCATGCATATATCTAGAACATGATGTATAACGAATATATAAAATTTTAAAATAATCAGCCAAAGCATGTCAGAGATACATGTATGGCTCTAGAAGCCCATTTTGAATCCGACCTGAAAAATAAAATGATGTGCATCAGGAACCAGTAATGTCTAATGTATGTACCAAGTTTAAACGAAATCCATCCATAAATGCCAGAAATGCTTGATATTTGATGATTTTTTAGCACAAAAATGGCCACCATTAAGCCATTTTGAATAGGATCATCAAACCAATATATCTGTATATCTATGACATGATGTATAATGAATATTAAAAATTTTAACATAACCAGTCAAAACAAGTCAGAGATATGGGTCTAAAAGCCTATTCATTAAAACAAAATGGCCACCAGTCAGCCATTTTGAATCCGATCTGAAAAATAAAATGACGTGCATCAGGAACCCGTAATGTCTAATGTATGTACCAAGTTTGAACGAAATCCATCCATAAATGCCAGAAATGCTTGATATTTGATGATTTTTTAGCACAAAAATGGCCACCATTCAGCCATTTTGAATAGGATCATCAAACCAATATATCTGTATATCTATGACATGATGTATAATGAATATTTAAAATTTGAACATAATCAGTCAAAGCAAGTCAGAGATATGGCACCACATTCATTAAAACAAAATGGCCGCCAGTCGGTCATTTTGAATCTTATCTGAAAAACAAATTTATTTGCATCAAGGTCCCATGATGTCCAATGTATATACTAAGTTTGAACAAATACATCAGTAAACAGCTGAGAAATGCTTGATTTTAATAATTTTTTAGCACAAAAATGGTTGCCATTCAGTCATATTGAACCAGATCGTGAAACAAATTGATGTACATATATGTATAATATCATGTATGATGTATGTGTGAAGTTTGATTATGATTGGTCCAGGCATTTCTGAGATACAGGTCCAGACGTACGTACGCATGCACGCATGCACACACGGACACACTAGGGTCAAAACATAAGTCCCCATTTTCAGACTGCGTCCGAACGGGGACTAAAAATTAGAATATTGAAGATATCATCACGAAATGAATAAATCCGAGAGAGATTTGCCCAAGGTACATATACACCAAGTATCAAAGCAATAAGAATTGTAGTTTTCAAGAAGAAGTCAAAAAGGTAAAAAGTTGGCATGGACGCCGACGAATGGACCACAAGACAGTCATTACTATCACCTACCTGCAATGTACTACTATTGGTCCACTATTAGCATCATTGATGGAGTTAACGTGTTCTAGCATATTTAACACACCAGTTGCATATATTGGGACACTCATATCTGGCCAAACTGTGAAGTGAAAGTGTCTGACTTCACGTTCTACTGTGTTCCCCTGCTTATAACAGAAACAAGTAATTAGTGATTCATTTATGATTACACAGTCCCCAAATGCAGTATATTTAACCGTGTGCGTGCCACACCCACTAAGTAGATTGAATACTGTACCACACCCATGCAGTCTATTTAACACTGTGCCACACCCAAGCAGTATATTTAACACTGTGTGCCACACCCAGGCAGCATATTTAACACTGTGTGCCACACCCATGCAGTCTATTTAACACTGTGTGCCACACCCATGCAGTCTATTTAACACTGTGTGCCACACCCAGGCAGTATATTTAACACTGTGTGCCACACCCAGGCAGTATATTTAACACTATGTGCCACACCCACTAAGTAGATTGAATACTGTACCACACCCACGCAGTCTATTTAACACTGTGTGCCACACCCAGGCAGTATATTTAACACTATGTGCCACACCCAGGCAGTATATTTAACACTATGTGCCACACCCACTAAGTAGATTGAATACTGTACCACACCCATGCAGTCTATTTAACACTGTGTGCCACACCCAGGCAGTATATTTAACACTATGTGCCACACCCACTAAGTAGATTGAATACTGTACCACACCCATGCAGTATATTTAACACTGTGTGCCACACCCAGGCAGTATATTTAACACTGTGCCACACCCACTAAGTAGATTGAATACTGTACCACACCCATGCAGTCTATTTAACACTGTGTGCCACACCCAGGCAGTAGATTAAACACTGTGTGCCACACCCAGGCAGTATATTTAACACTATGTGCCACACCCACTAAGTAGATTGAATACTGTA